TGTTATGCCGCGAGCGGCTTTTTTCTTTATTTATTTTGGAGATAGAACACAATATAAATACAACAGAAAGACATAAAACTTAACAAAATACGTGCCCACTTTCATAGACTTTAAACAATATAGTGTCATATCTTGATAAAATAGCCTAAGCTATATTGAAATATGATTTAAAGAATTACAAATATCGGACATATATAAAATCACATTAAATAAATTAACCAATATAAAATAAACAAAAGCTAGCTATAACAATGTAGGTAGCCTATATACAATACATAAATCAAACCGTTTTAAAGCCACATGTAGCCTAACTTTCATTTTAAAAAGACCTATCTGACAAAAAACAGTTTCGATATTTTCTAAAAACAATAAACACCGGAGAAGGTTTGAAATATTTATATAAAGTAAATATTTATATAAGTAAATGTTTATAAAGTATTTGAATGCGATTGTCAGGGTTTCAGGAAGGATGAGGGAGCGAGGACTCAATTGCAACATAAGATGGTATTTATTAATAAAAATAAAACAAAAAGGACAACAAAAACCACCCCGAGGGGGAAAAACACACCGATCACTTTAAACACCACACACCGATTACTTGAAACACAACACACCGATCACTTTAAACACCACACACTGATCACTTTAAACACCACACACTGATCACTGTAAACATCACACACTGATCACTTTAAACACCACACACTGATAACTTTAAACACCACACACTGATCACTTTAAACACCACACACTGATCCCTTTAAACATCACACACTGATCAATCTAAACACCACACACTGATCACTGTAAACAGCACACACTGATCACTGTAAACAGCACACACTGATCACTTTAAACACCACACACTGATCATTTTAAACACCACACACCGATCACTTTAAACACCACACACTGATCACTTTAAACACCACACACTGATCACTTTAAACACCACACACTGATCACTTTAAACACCACACACTGATCACTGTAAACACCACACACTGATCACTTTAAACACCACACACTGATCACTGTAAACACCACACACTGATCACTTTAAACACCACACACTGATCACTTTAAACACCACACACTGATCACTTTAAACACCACACACTGATCACTTTAAACACCACACACTGATCACTTTAAACACCACACACTGATCCCTTTAAACATCACACACTGATCCCTTTAAACATCACACACTGATCAATCTAAACACCACACACTGATCACTGTAAACAGCACACACTGATCACTGTAAACAGCACACACTGATCACTTTAAACACCACACACCGATTACTTGAAACACAGCACACCGATCACTTTAAACACCACACACTGATCACTTTAAACACCACACACTGATCACTTTAAACACCACACACTGATCAATCTAAACACCACACACTGATCACTGTAAACAGCACACACTGATCACTTTAAACACCACACACCGATCACTTTTAACACCACACTGATCACTTTAAACACCACACACTGATCACTGTAAACACCACACACTGATCACTTTAAACACCACACACTGATCACTGTAAACACCACACACTGATCACTTTAAACACCACACAGTGATCACTTTAAACACCACACACTGATCACTGTAAACACCACACACTGATCACTTTAAACACCACACAGTGATCACTTTAAACACCACACACTGATCACTTTAAACACCACACACTGATCACTTTAAACTAGGGGTGTAACGATTTATCGTTGTACGATTTATTGCGATGCAAAAATGTCTCGATATGCATCGTGGCGTTATGACGATTTGATTACGATATGACGTCCGTTTTCTCTTATTAGTTGAGCTGTTTGCACGTGAGTTACGTTCCACCTGCTGTCGCACGTGAGTTCAGATTGCAGCAGCAGTAATGTTAGCAGACCAAGATGAGTGGAGTTGAAATAGAGGATGGCCCATCCTCTCAAAATCAGACGTCTGGCAACATTTCGGTTGTACAGTCATTGCTTTAGACTCGTCCGCTTTTTGACACGCATACTGGGTCAAACATCCTAAGTTTTAAAGTCTTCACAGTGATTTACATACTTTGCACAGCGACATGGATACCTCCTAATGGTGTTGAAAGAGTCGCATACTGTATTTATAAGGTACAATTCAACCTAAAATATCATTCTGTCTTCATAAAATGATGCATTGGCAGCCGCAAAATCACACATGACGTGAGCTGTTACTACAGAGGGCGGAATATGATAGACACGCGTGTATGGCAAGCCGTTTTAGCATTTAAACCTTTGATCTGACTATCCATAAATATATTTAGAGATATCTCTAATTACATTTTGACTAGTTATAATTATAATTCGACTAGTCAAAATATAATTAGAGATATCTCTAAATGAATTTAATTAAATATGAATTAAATATATTTATAGATAGTCAGAACAAAGGTTTAAATGCTAAAACGGCTTGCCATACGCGCGCGTCTGCTTCAGTGAACAGAACCTGCAGGTTGTGACTAATAAAGTAGTAAACAACATTCAGTTTGTGGAACAGAGTGATCTTTCAGGAGCCCGCGTGGGAAGTTTGAACAGCACTTAGCAGTGGAAATGAAACTGAAAACGTACACATTATTTAAACAATCATATCGCATTTTAGAGTTATGATTACGACGAGCATTAACCCTTTTGAGTACAGAGGTACACAAAAATGCACGTCAACATGATACACTTGATAGCGCTGACATCAGCGATGCCGAAGAAATAGTAAACCTGCCTAAACTGCTGAAAAGAGCCACGACTGTCCTGTGTAATGAAAAGACGGCCACCCTGTCACTCATCATGCCCAACATGAAGACAGCCATCCATAAAAACCTCTCAGACAGATACACATAAGTTCAGGATTATCTTATAGAACTGCTGAATACCTGGAAATGTAATCACACACAAAAAACGCAAGTGACCAAGCAAAGCCTTAAGCTCTTACTGTTAAATTCAATTGAATAGAAAGCTTATTTTATTTGCACCTTTACTTAAATTGTTCCTTAATTTTGTCTCTGTCATTTCAATAATATTTTTTAAGAAGTTTTTAAATTGTTTTATTTTCCAGAGACAGACCTGTTTAATATATTTTCTAAAAGAAGGTTCAGTTTAACAAGTTGAAACAAAAGAAATACATAAAAAATAGTTTACTTGGTAAAATTTGCATTTCAGTTAAATGTTAAATTTTTATTCCAAATATCGTGATACATATCGAATCGTGAACACTATATCGTGATACACATCGTATCGTGAGCTGAGTGTATCGTTACACCCCTACTTTAAACACCACAAACTGATCATTTTAAACAGCACACACTGATCACTTTAAACACCACACACTGATCACTGTAAACAGCACACACTGATCGCTGTAAACACCACACACTGATCACTTTAAACATCACACACTGATCACTTTAAACCCCACACACCAATCACTTTAAACACCACACACTGATCACTGTAAACACCACACACTGATCACTGTAAACACCACACACTGATCACTTTAAACACCACACACTGATCACTTTAAACACCACACACTGATCACTTTAAACACCACACACTAATTACATCTACTGCTCAAAATGCTGTAAACATTTAAGGCTGATTTATACTTCTGCATCAAGCGCACGCGTATGCTACGTCGCAGCCTATGTGTGGAGGAAAAGCCCTTGTCGTGGCCGTTGGCAACGTTGACGTGCACCTTTTAAAAAATGGAACTACACGTCAAAACGATGCATAGCAAAAGCTCTGTGATTGGTCAGATTGGTGTTGCTGACTAGTGTAGGTGGAGTTAAGAGTTGCGAGAGCCTGATAAAACGAGTGTTTACAAATGTGACTTTTGTTTTGTGTTTACCTCATGATTAAAGTTGTTGCACGTCTGCCGGTTCCCGCCTCAACATGAGCGAGATTGAGCTACTTGTACAATAAGAAAGCGTTCAGAAAAACCAAAACACCAGCAAAGAAACTCGATACAGAGGAACATAAGCACCTACTGCCAGTTAGCGTTTCAGAAGTGGTAATGCAGAACAACACAAGCAGCTTGGAGAAGTACATGTGCACGGCACTTCGCAAGACATGCACCTTTGGTCACGCCAATCACTCGATACAGAAGTATAAACCAGACTTTATCAGTAATTAATAATCCTCTGCATCTCTGCTGTCTGAAACTTTACCATGACTGTGTTTGCTCTGCTTCTGTCAAATTTATATCTCTTGAGCCAATTATTATTTATGAGGTTAAATACTTTCTCACTTCTCCCTCTTTGTCTCACAGAACTTGTTCATTTATCTTGTCTAAAATCCTTCTCTTGATTATCCACACTTTGCTGACTGTTGTACAAGCCTGTAAACTCACTCTACTAACTCTAACAGCTTGAGTATTAATACTTTCGTCACTTATTACTACTTCAGCACTTCACTGATTATCAGATGTGAGTGTGTGGACATTCAGTTTTAAAGTCTCCTGTATTTTGTTCCCTGTAATAAAATTTCTTGACTGCACTGTGTGAATAAAGTGCAATAATGTCTGATCTTCTAGAAACACAGGATCATATAAATGCTGCAGTGTAATCATGTGTGTGTAGAGATGATCTACCTGACAGCAGGTTGTGTGTTTTCATTCGTAAATGCTATTGGTTCAGTCATAGACGCGTCACTCTTCATAGACACACAGCTGGGCTCTGCTTCTGCTCTCTTCCTCTTACGTGAGCTAAAACAGAGAAGATTAAAGTTGAGCGCTGCACACACTGCACAAACCTGATATTAATCATTCTTCATTTACAAAAACACTTTAATTAATTTCCTTTATATTTGAACAGAAACTGTCTGAATGTGGAAAATATCAGCAAACACAGATCAAGGCTCATTTCTAGTAGAGAAAGCCCAACAGAAATGCAGCACTATTAGAGCAGATTAGAGCTGAAACTAATCATCAAATCACTGAATGAACACAGTGTAGGTGTGGGAGGAGCTTAATCATGCAGGCGTGTCAATCATCATCACATGACTATATAAGCAGCAGTATAAACTGCACTGTGTCAGCTGACTGTTATTCCCGCCTCCCGCAGCTCCCCTTATCCTCCTCCTCATCACTCAGTCTTCAGAAGGTCACTCATCGGGGGTTTGTCTGCAGAGCTCCAGTCCAGACTTTGAGGACAGCAAGACAAGTTCATTTACCATCATCTATCATGACTGAATGAGCAGGACAACTCGAAAAATATCAATTCTAGAAACCAAATGTGTTGATCAGCAGCATCTATGAGGCCAACACAACATGATGATGACTGCGCTTCAGTGAAAACAGACTCAGATCAGAGGAATGGCTGATCAGTACAGCACAGAAACAGCAGGGGAAAGTGTGCAGGAAAAGCCCTTTATGGCAGGAGATCGGGAACACTTAAGTTTAGCTCACAATTTATACTATTAACTACCGGCTTATTATCTGTGGAATGTGAACATATGAACTGCTCATTAGTAGTCATACAGTATGATCTTATTGTGGATCCCTAACCCTACCCAAAACCTAAACCCACCTTCTACCTCACTAACTATTAATAAAGCGCTGATTGGTTTGTTAACACCATCAATTGTGGCCTGAAGTGTAAAGCGGAGATCTTCAATTACTATCCTGCAGAGCTCAGATACAACATCTAACATCTGAAACCCAACAGATCCACAACACTAATTACCTGATTCATTTATTATAAAAATACTCATCAGTTGTAGATATTAAAGAGATGATCTACCTGACAGCAGGTCCTGTGTTTTCACTCTTAAATGCTATTGGTGGACCCATAGACGCGTGACTCTTCATAGACACACAGCTGGGCTCTGCTTCTGCTCTCTTCTGATGAACTGAACTAAAACAGAGAAGATTAAAGTTCAGCGCTGCACACACTGGAGTCAACACAGCAGATTTACTCAACATTTCATCATTAAAACACTGTTTAAACAGCACTTCATGATACTTTTCATAATTATTGTACACAAACTTGCTGGCTGTGTGTGTTAAATATTCTGACAGATTAAAAACACAACTAACAGAGAGTAAATATAATATCCTGTAGAAAATAATCATATAAAATGTCAAGTGTAGGTCAAATACCTGCATCCTGTAGACAAATCCTGATCTGTGTGTGTGTCCTCCATGATGGACCTGAAGAGTTTGATCTCCAGCAGAAACTCTAGAAGAAACTGATGAACAATCACAGATCTCCAGTTATTGATCAGCCTTCATAATTCAGCTGAATGCAGGAATAGATCAGCAGCTAAGACTCTCAAATCCAGAAGCTCATCACGAGTAAACTAATGAAGAATCACAGCGTTATCAGTTTGATTATAATAATATCATACACACATTCACATAAAGCATACAGGTTTTGTCATGACATTAAGGATTTAAAGCTGTTTAAAATGGCGACACAACACACATCACTTTCACTTTCGTTTCTGAAGGAGCGGCAGATCATGAGTTCAGTGAAAAACATCCGTCACAAACACTAAGCAGAGCAGAGAAGAGTCAAACAGCTGCAGGGTTATCAAAGCACTTGCGAAGTTACATTTTACTAGAGTGATTTTTACCTGAAGCAGTATAAACACTCGACACAGAGAAGAAAGAACAAACACATACCTGGATAACCTCTTCCTCCTCCTCTTCTTCTTCTTGTGTGGCGAGTTACAGAGAGCAGCATGAAGCTGATACCGCAACCTGCTGTACTGGAGTGTGTATAATAATAATATGTTTACAGTTTGGTCAAATCAGTGTCATAGAGCTCAATGTAGATTTGTAGAAAATAAAATGACTGCTTTCCCATATATACTCTAATCTTTCTACATGAAGTCTAGCACAGCTTGTATTATATTCCCCATGTGTGACTGCTCTGATGAGAACAGCTCAGGCATTGAGAGGATCTGGAGTTGTCCTGTTGTGTCGCTGCACTGATAATCCTCTCGTGTGTAACTGTAGATGAAAGCATCGTGTCTCTGTAGTGGTTTAAAGATCAATATGATCATTAAAATATACTGTTAAATAATTTGGAATAATTAAAAATAAATATATACAAAGAAGAGTTAAAATCAATATGATTTACAGATGTGTTGCTCTTTGTATTATAACTGCCTGAGAAAATGACTTGGAGTGTCCGCTAGGGGGTAATCTAGAGCTGCAGATTGTTTTTTTTAATTATTTTTTTAAGAGCTGCAGATAGTAGGCGCTGTTTATCTGCACGGTGTGACAACCTTTTTTTTAATTGCACAACTGTCAGGAACAAACACAAAACACAATACAAATAATGAAACACACAAGAGAATACAACAAGGGTAAAGTTCAACAAAAAACAAAACAAAAAAAAACCAAAGATAAATAAATAAAATTACACAAAGTATAGGCGAGGCAGTGGCGCAGTAGGTAGTGCTTTCGCCTCACAGCAAGAAGGTTGCTGGGCTGCTGGTTTGAACCTCGGCTCAGTTGGTGTTTCTGTGTGGAGTTTGCATGTTCTCCCTGTTTTCGCGTGGGTTTTCTCCAGGTGCTCCGGTTTCCCCCACAGTCCAAAGACATGTGGTACAGGTGAATTGGGTAGGCTAAATTGTCCGTAGTGTATGAGTGTGTGTGTGTGTGTGGATGTTTCCCAGAGATGGGTTGCGGCTGGAAGGGCATCCACTGTGTAAAAACTTGCTGGATAAGTTGGTGATTCATTCTGCTGTGGTGACCCTGGATTAATAAAGATGTAGAAATGTTTATGTAGAAATAAACATTTCAAACTCAATACAAAAAAACGGTTAATGTGGGAGAAGATTTAGCAGATTTCTGTTTGTGTATGTAAAACTTTGCCAATAAAATAAAGACATTAACAATGTATTCAAGACATTTGTTGGAATTGTTTTCACAATAAAAATGACATCTTTTAATGTAAATTTTTTTGTCCTTTCACAAATATATTTGGCTGATTTTTCCAGAAATTCTTTACAATGTTGCATTCAAAAAACAAATGGCAAAGGCTCTCTTTATCCACAGATATCCTCCATTTCAATGCAATTTGATAAAAATGATTTTACTGGGTAAATTTTATGTAATATTTTAAAATAGATTTCCTTAATTGTATTATTAATAGAATATTTGATGAGAGTTAACCCGGCTTTTTTTTCAATTAATAATAACTATAATAGAGTTCCAGAAAAATGTGCCTCTAGGAGTGATTTTATTTTGCTTCTGAAAAACATTACGAATATGTTTGTTAGTACATTTTTATCAGTCAACTCAACACCTTCTAAATGTAGTTTTGGGTTTACAGCAGATTATAGCAAATATGATTTTTAACAAGTTGAATAATTTTTACAGGGATAGATTTAATAACTGAATTCAATTCTCTGACCAATATTGGGAAATTCTGAGTAGACACGAAATGTTTATAGGATAGGATATTCCCTTAACTGTCAAAAAGTTTTAAAAGATGATTAATGTCTCTATTAAACCAATTTACTACGATTACAGATTTATTTGAAGAGCTTATATTACCATTATTACAAATGAAGGGGGTGTGAGGAGAAACATTGTGACAGTAACAGATTTTCCATGCAAGAAGAGCTTGTTGATGAAATTTGGGGAGTTTAAAGGGGATTTTAGAAATATTATAATCAAATGTTTTAAACCTGTTTGGTTAAAAAAGATTATGAGGAATATGATTCAAAAGGGCGAGGCAGTGGCGCAGTATGGGCCACATTCTGTCCAGCGTTACAAGATGAAATCAGGATTTAGCAGAAGATTGTCACGGGTAGGGAAGGCATTACTGAAAACGTTGTCTAGCTCTTGGGCGAGCACCTCATCCGGCTAGCTTAATCGGTAGAGCATGAGACTTGTAATCTCAGGGTTGTGGGATCTAGCCTCATGTTGGGCGTTTCTGTTACCTTTCTCTCTCCCTCTCAACAACCTTTCATTAGGGTTCATATAGCAACCCTTTTGAGACAAAGTTCAGCGTTTCTACCATTTAGGTGACCTTTTCCCAAGTCTCTGTGGCGCAATCTGTTAGCCCGTTCGGCTGTTAACTGAATGGTTGGTTTTTCAAGCCCACCCAGGGATGAATTAAGCATTTTGCTGCCTTGCAACTGCTAACACGTGCACTGGGCATAGATCCTGGGCCCCATTCTGTCCAGCGTTACAAGATGAAATCAGGATTTAGCAGAACATTGTCACAGGTAAGGAAGGTATTACTGTAAACGGTTTCTAGCTCTTGCAAGAGTTGCTCATCAGCCTGGCTAGCTCAGTTGGTAGAGCATGAGACTCTAAATCTCAGGGTCGTGGGTTAGAGCCCCATATTGAGCGTTTCTGTTACCTTTGTCTCTCTCTCTCTCAGCAAACTTACATAAGGGTTCATATAGCAGACCTTTTGAGACAAAGTTCCGCCTTTCTACCACGGTAGGTGACATTTCACTAAATCTCTATGGCGCAATCGGTTAGCGCATTCGGCTGTTAACTGAAAGGTTGGTGGTTCAAGCCCACACTTTAAAAAAATAAAAAGTTGAGTAAACTTAAAATTTTAAAGCAACCGGCTGCAAAGAAATTTTGAGTTCACTCAACTTCAGTGGTTGAAGTTGTGCCAAATATTTTTTTTAAGTTGACTGAAATGGCTGGTTTAAGTCATGACAACTCAAAGCTGTGCAGCTGGTTGCCTTAAATTTTTAAGTTGATTCAATTTTTATCTTTTAATTCATAATTTCATGGAAATCTAATATCTGCGCTTCTCAAACAGATACCTGTATGACTCTAAGAATAAAGTTAAGAGATTACAAAACACACTATAAAACACAATATCAAAGAATATATTTATTGAGAATTCTGCAAACAGCTTTCTTTCCAAATTAAATGTACTGCAGTCCAGAGAAGGAAAAGATGCAACAAAAAGGTAAATCCTCAAATTCTATATTGCCTTTTAAGTGCTCGAGTAAAATGAAAGAAACATTTAAATTGCTAGCATTATCAACATTTTTTTCAAAGTGCAAGAGTAATTAGTGTTGTCACGATACTTTAATTTTGTTACCCATCTGTTCTATAATTTTAAAAACGTCCATTTCCTGATAACATTTGAGCGCTGTTGAGCATGTTTTTAAACACTGTTATATTGCCCTTGTGTTCACATGCTCAACAGAAAAGACTGATTGGGCGTGAAGGTCATCAGTTCACCAAACTCACTGCTGTTCACTGAATGTGACCACAGATACAGGGACACTTAAGCATTTCACATTGATCAACTGGTCTGTGTATAAGCTGACATACGAGTGTTACGCTGATGGATCGACTGAGCGACATTTTGAAACACTCCAGTTTGTTTGTGTGTGTGTATCTGTGTTTGCACTCCATGAACATCAAGGCCAATAAACACTTTCTAAATAGTTTCAACACAGCAAATTTTAGATAGTAGATTTAACTACCTTGGAGTTAAAATTAACACTCCCTCAGAGTTTATATGGGAACCACTATAAGTGTTAAAAATAACACTTTTGAAAGTGTTAACATTGTCAACACCAAGAGAGTTAGCAAACTCTTATTGTGTAAAATATCTGTTAAATTTCCGAAAAAATACCAGCAGCTGTGGTTGCCAGAATCTTTCTGTGAAAAACATGGAAGTTTTATATAACTGTATAAATTTACAAAAAATAACCATATTTCATGAACTAATACAATGTTCAGTTTACAAAATTATAGCTTAGTGCATAAAAATGTAAAGTCTTTAGATGCAATAATGTGTTCATGTGTGATTGCAATTAGCAAACAGATTTTGACTGCATTAGTAACTACACAGTTACCTTTATAAAAAAAAAAAAAAAAGAAGAAGCTGCAGCATAACATCAAATATTCTCAGTTCATCTTGGACTTGAACAGAGACGCTATTATCCTCCACAATGGTGACACAAAAACCGTTTTGCTGTTTTTCTTTCTTTCTTTTTTTTTTCATTTTTGGATTTTACGGAAAAATACCAGCAGCATTGGTTGCCAGTAATCTGCTGTTTTCAACATTTTAGATTCGTAAATTCAGTTTCCAGAATATTTCTGTTAAAAATACATCCCATAGTCTGTATTTTTCATTTGAACACACGTAAGCCTTAAATTCCAGAGCAAAATCCTCACTAGTGTCCTAACTAGTTAATGAGACAATTAAGTGTCAAATTAAAGGAGGATTGAGAATTGTTGATGAACAACTGTTAACAAGGAAAATCACTGAAGGACAGAAAAACACAAGCCAAAACCAAAGATGAAATCAACTGAGAAAAAAAACTCTAAATAAAATAATAATCAATAAAAATAAAATAAATTACACAATAATTTTTTTTATTTTTCAACATCTTTAAAAAACTCATCACATTAAACAACTTATCATGGAGCTTCACCTATTACTGACCTTTAACTTGATTTCTGTCATGTGAACAAAAGCTCTTAATGAAATTTCTGTTGTTCATTTGAAGTCACCATGATGGAGGACAGAGTCTAACAAACTAATTTTTTGTTGTATCTTCTATGAAGAGCAGCGGACTCCCAGTAGTATTGTCCCATGCAGTTTTAATACAACTATAGTTGCATATCTTTATGAATAAACTTAATAAACACCTGAAATTAAATCTATAACAATTAAGCATAAACAGTATAGTTTCTCTTGACCTTTCTTGCTATAGCTGATGAGTTTTAGAAACATAAGGATATAAGCGTAAAGCTTCAAGAGCTCAAATAAGCAGCCTCTGATCTCCATGATGGTGAGGTCAAATGAAATATTTTTAATAAAAAAATATTCTTACAGAAATGAAGTCAAACTGTAATCAGTGAAGCTGCTTATGCTATTATTTAATGGAGTTGTTTAATCCTCTGTTTTAATTCAGTTGGTTTGGTGTGAGACTCTGTAGTTTTATTTCTTCCTTCAGTTTCTTATTCCTTCAGTGATTGTGCTTGTTAACAGCAGGTGTTCAACAGCAGGTGTCTGAATTCACTTATTTGTGGTCATTCCCTGTCTAGTGGACTAAACTAATTGACCAATTTAAGGGCCAGGTGAATGAGGGTGTGGCGAGATTTCAGACACTAATTAGTTTCTCAAATACAAGGGTTTTCTACAAAGGTAGATACATGTTATTCTCGCCAAGAGGGTTATTTTGCCTTTATCTAACTCTAGAATTTTAACACTTTACTCTGAATTACCACAACACTTGAAATTTAACACCGATGAATTTGCTGTGAATGGTGTGTTTCAGTTCTTTAGGGTAGTTAATAATGAGTAAATAAATTAAAACAAAGAGGGGAACGACAGCTGTCGGAAGATCTTTTCCAGCAAGATTTCCTCTTCCAGAACCACAGACAGGCACCTTACATTTGGGTTGGTCTGACCAGTGACCACATCCTCTTCAACAGTGCTAAGGATGTCCATCTCCATCTCTTTTGCCCAAATATCTTCTGGCTCTGTGTCCTGCAGTCAAAGGAAACATAAAAAGAGGATGAAAAACTATTTTACTGCTAAATCACAAACATCTCCAAAAACAAAAAGCAAAGTAAAAGAAGCAAAGGTAAAGCAACTTTATTTGGAAACTTAAGGTAGTAATGTAGTAACATAGTAAGGAAGTAATCTAGGACTGACACTCAAGTCATGTCCTCAGCTAGGGGTGTAGATGCTAGGACTCATCACACACTCACCAGGCAAGTCTTTCAGAACTTTTCCCTCATAAACAAAGTAGAAAGTAGACCTTTCAGAGCTGTAGCCTTCCTTTGAGCGAGCACATTAGATGTCTGGAAGATACAAAACAAAATTATAGGTCATCAGTTATTGTCACATTCAACCAGATGCTTAGACCCTGAGAGATGACAGGTGGCACAACTTTACAATTGAAGGGCATTTATTATGGTTATTCACAGGTTAGAAAATTTGATCAGAAATTTCCAACATGTCCTCATTATCTTTCCATATCGCCCACCACATGATTGATAAAACTTGATAGCGTATTCATTCAAAAAAGAGAAGGTACTCTTGGGGTTGGTTTGAGTAATCCTGTAAAACTCAGCATAGACCTACACTGTAAATGCGAATAGTATTCCTTACTATTAAAATTCTAGTGTGTTTACTTAATTTTAAGCTAATTGTTGAGTTTACTAGAAATGCATTAGTGTTGCTGACATAGTAAGGTATAAAGTTCTCATAACTAATGTAATTTGAGTAAAATTGCTTATAATGGCTAAGCCATGCTGTTACGCATGCGTACTGGGTGGTGATTTCCCATCCCCCATCTCGAGTCACAACCAACCGCCAGCCAGCACCACCATGGAAGGACAGGATTTCATATTGAGAAGATGTACTGCAGTAAATCAAGGTAAACTTTTCATTTTAAGACCATTTTGATTTTATTTGTATAGTATCAGTAATCTGTTTATTTCCTGCACTTTGTAAGACTGTTTGCTGTTTTGTGAACTAATTATTAGCCCATGGTGTTGTGACTAATTGTTTTGACCACTGCACGTTATTTGCAATACTGTCTACTTTACTAGATTAGCTATTTTCAGCTGCCTAGTTCTTTCTAATAACTATTAATAATTTGTAACATTAGTAATAATTTGAAAAGTGGGTGTTATGCACTGAAAGAGCGGGCCGAGCCATTTTAAATGATGCACTGACCCAGATAGCAGTAGTAATCGGCCCGAGCTCGGTTCCGACTCGGCGCCTCCGGCTCCGACTAGGCATCGGCGAGTGTTATCCGGGCCGAGTCTGGCCCGCAGCTCGCTCTCGCACATGCGTTTGGGATGCGGCTGTTAAGCACTGGCCCGATTCCGGTCAACCACTTCTGACCTGAGTCTGTCTGTAGAGTCCGGGCTGCTTCTCGCAAGGACTCAGCTTGATTAACTGATGACAACCGATTCAATTCTTATTTCATCTAGTAATTTGTTAGTTTAATGATAATTTGAGAAAATATCCACAGTACGACAGCACCAAAATATTAAGATTATTTAGTGTGGATAGTCAAAACAAAATGATATTATTTATAAATTAAGGAAACATATTATCTAGGGGAAAACGGTGTAAAATGCGCTTGTTTTCGAGATAGGACGCTCCTGTGCCAATTGTTGTTAAAAGAAGTTCGGTTCTATACAAAATATATGGGTTAGTATAAACTCCTGATCCAAACTCCAATCCAGGTGGTGGCGGTAATGCTCCAAAAAGCAGGTTGCCAACCGCCATGAAGATCACAAGAAGAAAAGAAGATTCAAAACATTGGATTCTGGTCAGAAAGGTAAGGTTTTTACTGCTTGTAACCTGTATACTATGCAAATTTATTGCTTAAAACCATTTTTCACAGTGTTAGGTTGTAACAGTGTGTAGTATAGTAAAACAATTTGATACGAAATGCAACTTGTTGTAAAGAAACACGACTGAAGCTAATTGCTATACAAACGTGTAAAAGTTCATGTTCCTTTGTTAGGTTGAAACAGTGTTTAGTAACTGAAAACTATTTAAATTATTTTAAAGAAACATGACTAAAAACGAATTAGTGTGTATGCTAGTTTCTGTAGATGAATCTGTCAACACTAACATGGCAAAACGTGCTTTTAACTTCTGAGTTAACTAAACATTATAAAGTACCGCGAGTGTTGAAAAAAAAAATTTACAGGCGTGTACTTATCCAACAGTAATAATTCTGTGATTGTGTACATAAAAATTAATCGTTTTGGATTCATACAATATTATTGTTTAACTTGTTTATGCAGTGCATCACGAAAAGTGATCGAAACTCGACACCGTTTACTATTCTCTTTAAATTATCTAAGAGAAATCTATTAGTATGTGCTTTAATTCATATGTGTTAGCCTATGTGAATCAATTATATCTTCTGTTCAAACTGAAATTTGCGCATGTAAAACTGAAAGCAGATTTTAATGTTTTTTTTTTTTTGGTTATTGACACTTATAAATTCTGATTTGAATAAATAGGTAACAATATTTTTTCGGTGAAGTCTTAATATTCTTGTTTAACAAAGGTTCGTGAGGTCATTTTGCAGCACATCACAGAGACAAAAGATGCCAATGGCACGCTCTTATGAACAAGTGAATAGGCATGTTATAGTTGGGTGCTTAAAGTCCGTTAAAAACTGTAAACTGCTGATACATTTTCAACATACTTGAGCTTTTTAGACTTTACTATTTGCTTCACAAACGGCAGAAATGCACTGTAAAAATTGCTGTTAAAAAACGGTCAGATTCTACGGTAAAATAATGTTTTTTCACTAAAACAGTAATATTCTGTTAAAAACAATGCTTTCTGGGTAACATTTTTGTTTTCGAGAAAGTAACCAACTGCAGAAAACTGTGAGCTAACAGAGTTCAGATTCGATGTTTTGAAGTCTGTGTTTGAAATCACACTTTGTGTCCTTGTTCACTATTTCATACACTAGTTAACTAATATAGTTCACCTGACAGTTTTAATGAACACTAATGAGTGAATTCAGACACTGATGAACACCTGCTGTTAATAATCACAATTACTGAAGAAAATAAACAAGAAACACAAACAGTGACTTGAGTTACAACATTAAATAAAATCAAATAAAATAAAACAGCTTCAGTCTCAGCAGAGGATCATTAAACAACTCCACAAACAACAGCAGACACACTTATTACTGCTTGATTTGACGTCCATACAATTCACATTGAGATCCAACAGAAATTAAGGTGTTTTTTGTGTCACCGTAATGGAGTGAGGGGCTGGTTTAGTTGGGCTCTTCACCCTTGAACTCATTTAAGAAGACTTTCCAACTGCTGTAATACAGCGTTTACAAAACGTTTGTACCATAGCACTAAAGTTGGGAAGTCAATAAATAGAGAAATCTTTATCTGAAATTATTTCTGATAAATGTTTTGGTATAAATCTGGATGAAGGGCCTCATGCAATAGATTTTATGCTTAGTTGCAGGTATTAATTTAATTAATGAGAAGTGGAAACAGAAAACATACCTCCATAATTACTTAACAGTTAAGAAATAATATACAAAAACAGTTCAGCTATGACATATACACACTCAGACCTCATGAATCTGACCTTGTATCTCAACAATGGTAACATCTCAAATGTTTCATGCTGCAATGCATGCTGGGAGTGGCACTGTACAAATATCCCAGCATGCATTGCGGTATAAATAAATGTTGTATAACGGTTTTCTTTATTTGTGTTTGATTCTGCTTTTGTTTATGTTTCGACTTTCAGTTGCCTGTTTTGTGAGTTAAACTGTTAATTTTGTTAAATTTTGTTAAATTTGTTGTCACCATTATTGAGGTTCATGTGCTGATTATTGATGTCTCTTTGAGTGCGATTTATACCATAGAGCAGTGTTATTGTCCAAGATATTCTTAAAAACTTCCAGAAATCATTGCTATATATATATATATATACACACATATAATGTAAAACAATAGATTTAACATTGAACAGGAGCAGTAAATTTTATTATACTAAATGAGAACAAACTCTGCCATTTAATAGCAACTTGAACATCACCAGATCTTATTTTTTCAGATTTAGGTTTTTGGCTGGCTTGCCACATCAAAAGAGCTTTTTAAACAAAGTTCTTAACAATTGCAGCAGCCAAGATATATAAATGTTAAAAATGGCAGGGCTAAAAGCCCAACTAAAGCAAACTCTGTTCTCCATGATGGTGACGTAAAACTTTAACTTTCTCTCAAGAAGAACTTTAGTAGATGTTATACAAAAATACATGTATTAAGTAATAAGTGTAGCTGGTGATGATGTTTGTAGAGTTGTTTAATCATCCGCTGATCATTTAAATGATTTAATCATTTGTTGTTCTTCAGGTTATTTCATTATAAAGCTGTGACTAAAGTTTTGTATGTTCTGTTCTTGTTTTTTCCCTTTAGTATTTCTTCATTTGTTCATTGTTAATCCTCAATTATCATTTAATTAGTCAGTTAATTAATGAATTTACTTCAGCTTTGCTACATGTTTCTTGAACACTCAGTAGTGTGGACACTTCAATTAAAATTGAAGTATATGCTCTGGGGTTTAAAGGGTTAAAGGTGTGAGAGGTAAAAACACAGTGTAAAAATGTATTTTAACAGTAATATACTGTTAATTTACACAACGGAAGTAGACTGTTAAAAAACAGTATATTGCTGGCAACCACAGCTGCCAGTAGATTACTGTTAAATCAAGGAAAAAACAGTATTTTACTGTAAAACCTGAAGCTAATTTCTTCTGTCTGTCACCGTTGTGGAGGAGAGTAGAGCCAGTGTATGAGTTAAAGATGAACAATGAACTGCTGATGTTATTCTGCATGTTTCTCTATTTAAAGATAGCGGCTGTTTAGTTGCTGATGCAGTCAGAATCTCTCTGGTGATTCCAGATTTACATGTATGTGTGCTGTTGTGAAAAATAAGACATTAGAGTTAAACCGAACTTTTCTAATTAACTAAAATAAGTTATCATTATAAGTATGCTTCTAAGCATATATAGCACATTACTTCATAAACTCATTCAGCAGTTGACCAAGTTGAGGCAGTTGCTTTCAGTGAGCAAAATGAGTTCACTTGAGTATTGTGTAAATCAATGTAGTCCATGTATTTTTACAACAACATACTGTAAAATAACAGTACATTGCTGGCAACTGCAGCTGCCAGTATTTTACTGTTATTTAACGGGACAATTTTTAACAGTGTGGTTCATTGTTATTAGCTATCATCATCAAACATTTTCCACAATGGTAGGTTAACAGTGTTTAGTAACTTACAACTATCCAAAAGGTTTCTTATTTTAAAGAAATATGACTGATTGACTTAATCTGCTTTCCTATTGGTTTCATAAACTGGTTTGTGCATTGTGTCACAAAGTGATTAGAACATTTACTGTTATTGGCTTTCATCTGACTCAAAGTAAATCAAAGCATCTGTATTCATCCAGTAATGTCTAGGTTTTAAATAGAATTTTGGGCTTATGCTAATTGGGTGGAATATATTTCAGTCTTTTTCTGAATAGTCATTATTAATGTTTATATTGATTCTAGTGAAGATAAACATTTGTATAAAATGTTGTATGTTTGTTTGTTTGACAGTCCACAACATGATCCTTGAGCAAGATCAAACAAGCTTGGCACAGAAGAGGTCAGTATATGCAAGTCATGGCTGAAATCATGCATGTGCTTAGCCATCTTACAAATCTGTGTCTAAGATTCAAAAGGCTGTTACTCTGCATGAATTTCTGAATAAATCTTGTGAAACCTTCAGGGTGCTGATTATTTACAGTATAGGTATTATAGCCATTGATTAACTGTGATAGTATTTCAGAATTTTAACTTTTCTTTGGGGGAGATTAACAACAATGTGATGTTTTATTATAGAAACATCCACAAGCAACTATGATGTCTGACTGGCATACAGTTGAGGCGATGATCGCCTGTCATACACCTAAAGATGAACAGGTTTGTTTGCAATTATTTTAAACACATACTGTCAACATTATTTCATAGATCTATTACAACCTGCGAGTTTGGCCCTGGCACTATACTAAAAAGATGTTTTGTTTTGTAAATGTATCTGATCATGGTACATAAGGCACAACTATAGTGACAGTGATGAAGAAAAATTATTTTAGACAAGGAGGCTCGAAAAAAAAAAAAAGCAGATATGAAGATTTCAGGAATCGATGCAGCACCGCAAGTACCATCATCACCATAATTCTTAGGACCAACATCAAGATGCACGGATGCTGAACATTCCAGTATGCCTATGAACATTTACAGTCCTTGTTCCAGTGCAGTTAGAGATCAAGACAGAACTTGTGCAACTCATGAATTAGAGACATCACTAAACTTGTAAAGATTTAATGCAGCTAGAAAGTAAAGATCAACTAGAGAATATCAGCAGTATCTAACCCAATGTTGTATTCACACAAGTTGTATGAGAATAAGCTACAGGTTGATTTATACTGATTCCTTATTTTTCTATTTAAGCACGACTGACTGAAGTTTTAAAATCATGCAACGTCATAAAGCAGCAGCTGGGCCTGATTCTCACAAAACCAAAACAGACTTGATGAAATTCCAGATGTAAACACATTTGACCTTCCTTTGTCCAATTTGATATGAGAAAGCTTGAAAATCAACTAAAGGAGCAGCCTGAACAAATGAAGAAACTGGTAAGTTCAAGCTCTTGCTAATTTCAAAGTGTTTTAAGTTTATTTATTTATTCATTTGTTTGTTTGTTTGTTTTTTTTTTTGCTTCTTAGGGAGCCTACTTTGGAATCATTGGTGTTTTCCATTAAGGAAGCAGTTTGGTGTATCCTGGGAAAACTTTTGGCTAACTCCTTGTCTAATCAAATGATCTAGAGCGGGGCAAACCAAAATGTGGCCTTTCGTGCACTCCCCCTTAGGACTGTTTAGTCTGTAAGTTGGTTTTAAATATACATTTCAATACAATTAGGGGCTGTTCCATCTCTGTATTTCTTTGAATCATTAACCAGAGGAACAAAAAAAAAATCTATATATAGTCTCATTTAGGTTGTACTCATGTAAGCAAGCATGTTTCTTTCTTTTTTTTTTTTTTGTACTTGTTCACTACTAATTATCTGTTTATCTTTTAATCACATATGTAGTGAGGACAAATGTCCATACCACACCACAGATAAAAGAAGTGGAAAATGTATTACATGGTGGCTACAACTTCCTTCCTCTATCCCTGTCAGGAGCAAGGAAGAAAAGAGCTCTATATGCACACACACACACACACACACACACACACACACACACACACACACACACACACACAACACAATATATATATATATGTATTGCTGTTTGTGCAATTTATTCTGGTCAAGTTTATTTAAAAAATTAAGTTTAGGTCTTTATACTTCTGCAATTTTACATTTATATATTTCTTTATTATTATTATTATTATTATTATGTTTATTATTATTTTAATGTTTCTGAAGATGTTTCTTCAGAATTCAATAGTTCTTTTTACAATTTTGACTTGTATATTTTATGTATTATCAGGTATTTGTAAGATGTTTCTTGCTATATCTTAAATTGGTTTCTATATTCATGTTTCTATAAAATTTAGCAGTTTTAAGATTTGTCTTGTACAATTTTTTTATTCAAGTCTATTGGGAAAACAGTGTTGTTTTAAAAACTTGTGTATGTGTGCACTGTGCAGTTTTAGTGTTCTTTGAATCTTCCTGTGTGTCTTAATTGTGTAGTTTTATTTTTTTATATTGATGTTCTTGTGCACTACAAAATAATTTATTCAATTTTAGTATTATTTGTTTCTTGCAATCAATAAACGTTTATAATTTATTTATTTTGTCCTTTGTTTGATTATTTTTCTTATAGCATATGTATGCTGTTTGCATTTTGTTCAAAGGTTAAATGCAGTGCCTACACTTTGTTTACATTATAGCCTGTGTTTGCTGCTACATCAACTCAAAGGGTTGTAATATAAAGGTATATAAAAAAGGTATATAAAAACTTTACTCTCGGGCCGATTCCGGCGCGGATGCGGCAGCGTCGGCTCACTTACAGCCGCCGCATCTGGCCCGATTGATTCGGGCCGGATGCCTGTGGACTCACTGCCCGATTCCGAGTCCGGCAGCCGGAGTCGGGCCGAGTGGTAAGCCTCCGGCAGGCGGGAATCTAGCCGTACCTGGCCCGAGTGTATTTTGCTATCTGGGTAGCTTGCTTGAGCCTAAAAGTGTGAATGTGTCTCTGCTAGCCATAATCTTTCAGTAATGGTTGCCATTATCACGCAGCATGTTGCCCATTTATCTGAATGGCTGCTGTTAGATCTGTAAGCTATGTGTATAAATTAACATATGTATAAATGGGCATCAGAGAAAATCCTGTTTGCTACTCAAGGGGGGAAAACACAATTGTTTACAATAGAATCCTAATTCTGTTTTTTTTTTTTTTTGTCATGTAGCTGAATCTCTGGGCTGGAGTGATGGAGTGAAGAATCTTCTGTCAGTGACTGAGAGCAGAACAACAACTCGTATAAGACTTTTTTGTTGCTTATGCACTAGAATTATTTTATACAATGTATTACTTGTGCTCAAATAAATCATTCATGCTGTACGTTTCTGCTCATTATTTCACAATTTAAAAAATTAGTGGAGTGTTAATCCGTCAGTGTGTGTGGTCATTAGACTGCTTCTCCACAAATAAGGAGAGGGAAAAAAATCTCAAGACATTGTCTCAGAAAAATAATTCCAGAAATTTCATTTTGCATGATAATGACATCAAATTCAAACAATATAGTCAGGAGATGTGGGCTTTTGACCTATTACATTTTCTGTGTTGATCCAGGACTGATTTCACATATTTGTTTATGAAATAATAAAATGTTTAGTGCGGGGCAATTTTTTTTACATTACTTAAGCATCCATAACAATTTTTCATTTAGAGGATTATAAACATTGGATGATGGATAATAAAGCCCAGAGTGTCTTCTTTTCAATAATACATAAACTGTAAATGTAGACCAAATCATTCAGCAACTGTAAATGTTTTAGCTTTGGGAAGATATTTTTGGAGAAAGTGCCTCTGGCGGTGAGGGAGAGAAGGATATCGACATAGCCTCAGAAAACTTTTTACAGAAATACTTGGCTGTCACGTCATATTTTTTTCTAGGACATTACATTAATGTTTTCTTGTGTTTGTATATGAAAAACTAATATTGAACACAATACAATTTTTTTTCCTTATGAATTTTTTTAACATGTAACTTCTCCTTTTACCACAGTAAAGCTCAAAGTGTCTTCTTTCCAATGATACATAATTTGTGTTTGTAGCTTACTGGAGTCAGGAACTGTTACTATTTAAAGTTAGGTAGGTGTAAAACCCCAAAATTGAGTGCTGGCTAACAGGTTAAAGTTTCTCTTTTTGCTTGCTTTTGCCATTGCTTTTTTGTTGGGTTTTGCCAAAGTAGAGTCATTAGCATATAGCATATTAGCATATTCATACTGAGGAGGAGGCAGGGAGGGGTTTTGCGCTCGTGCATGTTGCGCTCAGTTTCCCGTTCATTCAGATGTAAAGAGAATATCCATGGGATTCGATGTACACAGTGTTTCATACATCTGAATTTTTCTGCGTATGCACATTTACAGCTTTGTGCGTATGTAATGTTTTAGTATAATTTAAACAAAAGTCTTCGTACATAAGGCCCCTAAAGAGTTTTTAGATGAGCATCACCCTATATCCTTGCATCAGGAACCACCAGACGAGCAATCAGCAATTACTACATTGTCATGGATAAAAAGGTCATCCTGTGGCTGGGAAGCATATCATTCACAGGACATGCTTGATGAGATTTCCTAGGTCCAGTTTGTTTTCATACAAGTTTACAGCAATTATACCTTCATTTAGACGGCTGTCTTTGATATTGATGACCAGAAAACACCAGAAGTGAAAGATTTTGTTGTTTGTCGATATGAAAATAAGAGACAGTTATCAAGAACTACAATATGCTTTCTTTATTTCAGATTGCACCTGCTCGGCTGCTCATAACATCACTAACTTGTACAATAACCCGAATAGGGAAATTGTGTGTTCATCAGGGGCACAGTAAAGACCATATATGAACATAGCAGTTATCTACAAAGCCTTTGTCCACACTGTCATGCCAAAGTCCACCCTGTCATCTTGTTTTCCAAAGTCATGTTCAAATTTTATGAAAATGAACAAATTATTTATAAGCTCTCAAAACATTATGTGTGATTTCTTAACAAACCAATAAGGGCCAGTTAATATTGTTTGAAAGTTTGACTAAATATTTAGATCTTGGGTTTTATTTTAAAAAGAATGTGCAACAATTGTATATTATATTGGGAAATAAATATTTTGACCATTATTTCATTATTATAAATAGACTTTTTCCATAATCTATAAAGTTGGGTTGGTAAAATGACACATTGCCTTTCTGGAAATATTCATTTAAAGGTTCAGAACATATTAACAGATTTGTGTGTGTTGAGCATCAGTTAAGACAATGTTAGCACCTGTCAGCTTTACTTGTGGGGAAAACTAATTTTGAGCTTTTGTCAGCTAATTTCAGCTTCCGAGTTTAAAATGATTTTTGGGGAGGGATCAAAATCGGCGACGTAGCGCAGAACTGCAAGTGTAAAGATGGCGCGTCGGTTTCTCATTATTATTCATAGCGGAGTTTTCTTATCCTATGAGAAGAGCCGGCTGCTTAATTATCAAGCCCGAGCTGTGAGACACAGACCGACAGTATTTAGCCGTTCATGAAGGCTCATATGCGTTTGTTTTCATGATCCACGGGGTTTGTTGCATGTTTTCCCCCGCGATCTTGTCAGGGCCGATCATACAGCAAAGCTGTGTGTGTGCTGCTAGCATTTTTGTCGGGAGAGCAGCATGAGAATTAGAGAATGGCGGACACTGTCTTTTATCAGGAGTTCGTTCACATTCAGACACATCGCCGTGCTGCTGTGTTCGCCTAAATCCTCCAGATTACCAGCAGGGCTAATGGTTAAAATAGACAGGTCAGGAGACCTGCTGCACTGAGTCTGCTGGATACGGGGATTGAGGGAGAAGTCCTCATTTATAGGGTTTACATGAACACACTTATCTTTATAATGATATAAATTGTGGTTATGTGTATATGAAATAACGAATAACAAATGTAGCAGGGCATTAAATCACGGTTCATTTCTTTGCATTTTAACTTTGTGAACTATAAACTCAAGCGTCTCCTCACGGTTTGTCTCATTTTGTGAGCTAACTATCAACAACAGTTGTTCGCTTACGTTCTCCCCTGCTGGCCACGCCCACACCTGCCCGATGCTCGCGGAGCTCCACGCCCATTAATCATGCATCTTTTAAAAAAATTCTGAAGTAGACTTTAACCGAAAGTGGGGGGTGTCATGGCCCTTTAAAAATCACACTGCAATAAAAATATACTTCTACTACTTTTAATGTGTCCATGACAGAGTTGACACAATTTGAGGTTTGTTTGCTGTTTCTCTGCTTGTAGATTATTTGTGAAAAAGTGACCAACATTCCAGCTTGACCAACATTCATTTCTTACAATCTAAGATCTAATTAATACAACAACTATGTGGCTAAATAAAAAAAATCTATGATTTTTTTTTATTTTTTACTTTTGACGTCTCAAAAGCACTTTATAGTGATATTATTTTACACACTCCAGTACAGCAGGTGGCGGTATACATCTTTTACTGTGCTCTGTTATTCGCCACACAACCAACAGAAGAAGTTATTCAGGTACGTGTCTTGTTTTGTCTTGTCTGTATCCAGTGTTTATACTGCTTCAGGTAAAATCACCCAAATAAAATGCAGTGCTTTGATAATCCTGCAGCTGTTTTGACTTTTCTCTGCTCTGTTTAGAATGTTTGTGCCAGATGTCTTTCACTGAACTCATGATGTGCTGCTCCTTCATAAACGAAAGTGAAAGTGTTTAGTTTTTTGTGTCGCCATTTTAAACAAACACAATCCATTATTTACAGCGCAGAAGAGCTTTAAATCTTTGACTGAATAAATTCAAAACGCTAAGGACTTGACAAAACATGTATCACATGAACCTGTATGTATGATATTTTTTTTTCACAGTACAAACAAATGTAATCTTATACGGATGATGGCTGTGATTTTTAATTTGTTTACTCATGATGAACTTCAGGGTTTGAGTGTCGCAGCCACTGATCTATTTCTGCATTCATCTGAATTATGAACGCTGCTAAAAGACTGTAGATTTATGAATAGAGGTAAAATTGGTTTTATATTTGCACATTCAGACTTTCCCCTTAATAATATCATTTCATTAAAGTATTATTTGCAAACTCTAAATAGCGAAATCATATTAGCAGGCAATGACTATCAAAGTACAACATTGTTCTCAGTCAAATAAACAGTGTTAATGTTGTTTTCAAGTCACACTTGCATGCTAATTCCGATCAAATATTCAAAGTAACATGGTAAACAATGTAGAAACTTCTAAATAAACAAATGTGCGAATATAAAACCAACTTTACCTCTATGATTTATGATTGCTTGTCAGTTTTTTCTAGAGTTTCTGCTGAAGATTAAACTCAGAATCCGAACAGAATCTCAAATTTCAAATCTATCATGGAGGACAAATGCACTTCTGGAGATCTGGATTTGTTTGCAGCATACAGGTATTAGGCATAGACATTATATTTTATATTATTATCATAATTTTTTTTTACAAAGAACATATTTTTTTTCTCTTTTAATCTCTGTCAGATAATTTAACACACATCCAGATAGAGGTAAAGTTGTTTTTATATTTGCACATTTGTTCATTTAGAAGTCTCTATATTGTTTACCATGTTACTTTGAATATTCAAGCGAAATTAACATGAAAGTATGGCTTGAAAACAAAATTAACACTGCTTATTTGACTGTGAAAAAAGTTGTACTTTGATAGTCCTTGACTGCTAATATGATTTAGCTATTTAGAGTTTGCTTTTATGAAATTGTATTATTAAGGGGAAAGTCCAAATGTGCGAATATAAAACCAACTTTACCTCTATCACATCCAGAGAGTTTTTGTACAAAAACCTGTTTTTGTTTTGTTAAATGCAATATGTGCAGAACATTAATCTTTTTCTGTTTTAGTTCAGTTCATCAGAAGAGAGCAGAAGCAGAGCCCAACTGTGTTTCTCTGAAGTGTTATGAATCTATGGGTCACTCAATAAATTTTAGGAATGAAAACGCACAACCTGCTCTCAGGTAGATCATCTCTACACACACTTGATTATACTGTAGCATTTTTATGTTCATGTGTTTTCTAGAAGATCAGAATTATTACACTTTATTCTCACAGTCAGTAAAGACTATATACAGGGAACAAAATACAAGTAACTCTAAAACTAAATGTCAACACACTCACATTTGATCATTAGTGAAGTACTGATAAAGTATAGATATTCAAACTGTTAGAGTTAGTAGAATGAGATTAAATGCTTTTTACAATAGTCAGCAAAACGTCTAGAGTGAGCAAAGAGATGTTAGACAAGATGAATGAACAAGTTCAGTTAGAGAAACACACTGCGTTTCATCTGATAAATAATTAT